CAACCAATGGGGGGGGGGCGGGGGGAGGGATGACTGAGTCAGAGTCTCTTTGGGAACTGTATAGAAAATTTTACCATTTTCTGGACCTTTAGGCACAGCTGGGACTGAACTGGGAGCTGTCAGGGCCTTGTCCTTGGCTGCAACTTCTTAGAAAAATTGGAGCCAGAAGAGGCCCCACCCTTTCCTGTTGCAGGTGAAGAAACTGAGACTGGGAGACTTGTCCGGGGTCACTGGTGAGTCTGAGGCTAGAGGCAGTCGCGTCTGAAACCGCCAGCCAATAAAAGCTGCGTTCCAAAGTCACCTCCGGGGATGCTATCTCAGCGTCGCTCCCTCCCTCCCCTCCCGCCGAGCCTAGTCACGCGGGGAGGCTCCCAGTCTCCTCCGCCCGCAGGCAGAGTCTGAGGCCCCTGGCCCGCAGGCCTCATCTTCCCCACCCGGGGCTGGCACGCGGCGGGCCTTGGGCAAACCCTCAGGCAGCACCAGTGCCTGTATTGGGGGCCCTTCCCCCACCCCCAGGCCCTGGGAACCCCTGGGGCACCTAGGGCCGACCCTCCTGCGAGGACTCCAACACTTGCAACAGCCTAAGGGCTCCAAAAGCCTGGCTCTGGCCGCCCCCTCTCCGCCAGCTGTGCGGTGTTTGGACAACTGGATGGAATGTTTTGCAACGAGAGTCCTCCCTGGATCCCCGAGCTCATGTTTCAAGAGGGTGGGAGGAGAGGATACTGGCTCCAGGGAGAGGGGAAGACACTCAAGAAGTCAAATGTGGGCCTGGAAGCCTCCCCCCAGGACTGTCCAAAACACTGCCCACCCAGTCTCAGCGGGGTGGGGAGCTGCAGCCAGGCCCAGGCCCCAGGGGAGGGCAGGACAGAGGGTGGAAGCAGCCCAATGGAGTCAGATAGTTGACAGGGCCAACATGGTGAAGTCAGGCCCCAGGGACAGTCTGGGCTCCAGGAGGGGCCCAGCCCAAAACAGCACTTGGAGACGGTTAAGTTCCCATGACAAAGATTGTCCCATGTACCACTGCCCCCATTTTACAGACAGGGCAACTGGGGTCCAGGGGGGCCAAACACTCTCCCCAGGTGGGTGTAGAGCTGGGCTGGAATCCAGGGTTCCTGGATCTTAAGCTCACTCTTCTCACTGTCCAGGCCGTCCCCACTCTCAGACACCTGGAGACTCCCTTCCAAAACGGCAGAACGTGGAGTGGGGCTGGGACCTTGCTAGGATATTTACACTTGATATCAGACATAGTTTACCTTCGCAGCCACCCAATGTGGTACTTCCTTGCCTTCTGTTCTCATACTAAAGATGAGGAAACTGAGACTTGGAAGGGTTAAATAATTTGGCAACAGAAAACTACTCAAGGATTTAGGATTTTTTCCACCATTGCTTTTCAGAGAGTGAAAGAGAGAGAGAGAGAGAGAGAAACATCGATGTGAGAGGGACACATTGATTGGTTGCCTCCCCCACTCTCCCCAACCAGGGCTGGGATCAAGCCTGCAACCAAGGTACGTGTCCTTGTCCGGGAATCAAATCCAAGACCCTTCAGTTCCCAGGCCAGCGTTCTAACCACTGAAGCAACCTGGATTTAGGACTTTAATCCAGGTTTTTCTGACTCCAAAGCTCATGTTCTTATCCCTCCAGCATTTACTCTCTCAGGAGGAAGGAGGGCTTGATGGAGCAGCACAACTTAAATACATAGAAATGACAAAATAGAAATGGAGGGACCATCAGGAACAAAGGCTTGGGGGCGGGGCGGGGCAGGGCACATACCGAAGAAGTAAACCCTTCACTCTGGGAGAGCTCAAGCTGATTTGGGGACAGTGAAGAAAAGAGGAGATGGGCAGGCTCAGGATGAATTACGAAAAGCTTTGGGGGTCAAGTTAAAGCGTTTGGACTTTGTTCTAAAGGCTCCAAGGAGTCTTTGAGCAGGAGATTGATGTGCTCAGAGCCCTGCTTTGGGGAGATGGAATTGACAGCAGTGTGCATGAAAGATATAAGTGAACACTTATCAAATATCCAGAGAGGACAGACTTTCTAAACTTAGAAGCGCCTGAAAGGTCCTCAAAAGAAAGATCAATAAGTCTGTTTACATTAGAACTGACAGCTTCCCTGTGTTCCTCCCTTCTCCAAAAAGTAGCCAAAATTAAAAGGCAGATAGCCTGGGGAAAATTCCCAGCAAATGGCAGCGTTAAGATCTTTAATAAAGAATTCACAGAAAACACACTGGGTGCTCAATAAACATGTTTATTCATTCAACAAATATTTAATGAATGCCAAGCGTGGGGACAACTGTGGGCGAGACAGGGTTTCTTCACTCAGGGTGTATACAGTTTGGGGGAGGGGTGTGTAGGAGGCACTCAGACATCTAATTCCAACACTGTGTGACAGGTACAGGGGTGGGAAGTCCCTCAAGGAACTCCTAACCTGGACCTGGGAGCTGGGAAATATTCCCAAGAGAAGGGTTGGGGAGTAGGGGGGGGACTGTTGGAAGAGATGAGTCCAGCAAGGGCACCAGGGGCTAGATCACACAGGGCCTTGCGTGCTAGGTAAGGAGCTCAGACATGATGCTGGAGTACAGAGGGGAGCCCCTGAAGGGTTGAAGCGGGAGTGTGATATGATCAGATTTACACGTCAAAAAATGACGTATCAGGGGCTCTTACAGATGTGTGCGGAATGGATTGGAGAACTTCTAGTGATGTGGTGGGCTTGGAGCAGCGGGGAACTTTCCTACTATTCCCAAAAAAGAGGCCATGATTCCTTGAGGCCCTGTTGTCTACCAAGATCTCTAAAAAACACTTCTTAGCCCACAGAGGAAAGTGAGAATGAAGCTGGGAGACTGGCCAGGAGGATGACTTTTTAAATGATATACTCATGTTACTACTTTGATAAAATCAAAATTAATTTTAAAAAGAAAAAGAGAAACTCAACAAGGATGTATGAAAATGGAAAAGTATAAGCCAATATCACTAATTCTAGATGCAAAAATTCTACATGCAATATTTACAAACTGAATGGAGCAATGAATACATAAGGATAGACATAGAGATCAGTGGAACACAATCAAGAGTCCAGAAATAAGCCCATATATCTGTTGTCAGTTGATTTTCAACAAGAGTGCTAATGCCATTCAATGGGAAAGAATCATCTTTTCAACAAATGGTGCTGGGACAACTGGATATCTGCATACAAAAGAGTGAAGTTGGACCTTTATCTCACACCACATACAAAAATTAACACAAAATAGGTCAAAGACCTAAATGTAAGAGCTAAAGCTATAAAATTTTTAGAAGAAAACAGAAGGGCAAATCTTCATGACCTTGGATTTGGAAGTAGTTTCTTAGATATGACACCAACACACAAACAACAGAAGGAAAAAAAATCAATAAACTGGAGTTCATTGAAATAAAAAATTTCTGTACACCAAATGACATTCTCAAGAAGATGAAAAGACAGTTCAAGGAATGGGAGAAAATATTAGTAAATCAGATCATATATCTTATAAGGGTCTAGGATCCAGAATATATAAATAACTTTTACAACTCAACAATAAGTAATCCAATTGAAAAATGGGCAAAGGGCTTGGGTAGACTTTTCTTCGATGAAGATATACAAATGGGGAATAGACACATGAGAAGATGTTTAACGTCATTTGTCATTCGGGAAATGCAAATCAAGGCCACACAAACAGATACCACGGCACACTCACTAGGATGGCTACAAAAAAAGAAAGAAAAGAAAATAGAAAGTGTGTCTGAGGATGTGGGGAAATTAGTTAGAACCCTCATACAATGCTGGTGGGAGTTTAAAATGGTACAGCCACCATGGGAAACAGTTTGGTTGTCCTTCAAAAGTTAACCATAGACCTAACATCTGACCCAGCAGTTCCACTCCCCAAACTGGGGACAGAAGTTTAAACAAAAACTTTTACATAAATCTACAATAATAGCCCCCAAAATGGAAACAAATTGTGATATATCCATATTATTCAACCAAAAAGTAATGAAGTGCTGGTCTTGCTACAACATGAATGTGTAGGAGGCGCTGGGTGGGTGGAGTGTTCCGCCAAAGCCAAGGTGAGCTGGAGCCCTCCCCCAGGAGCCTGTGGTGTAGGCCACACTTACACTGGAAAATTATTGTTTATCTGAAACTCGTATTTGATGGACTGTCCCGTATTTTTATTTGCTAACTCTGGAGCCCCAGCCCAGGGTAGAGAAAGTGATGGAGCTGTGGCTGCCCAGGCAACCTTGTGCCTGAGCACCTCAAGGCAACTAAAGGCAGCTTGCTTGGTGACCCTGTTGATCAGACAGATGTCACCAGCGTGGCTCACTCATCATTCAGTGTGCCCCGTGCCGTCATCCCCCACTGCCTTGGGTCCGTTCCACCCACCTGGCCACCTCCTGAGGAAGGCTCCTGGAAACTGGCACACAAACTCACCCAGTTTAGGAGTCTCCTCCAGATGTCCCTGCCAGGGGACCCCGAGGACAGCAGCTAAGGGCCAGGAGGCAGTTTGCACAGTCATTTCGGCAAGGGCTTTGGACCAGGCAGACTTGGGCTCAAGTGAAGGCTGGGGCCAGGTACTTACCTTCTTCTCTGGGCCTTGACATCCACCTGTAACGGGTGGATAACACTTCCTGTACCCCAGGGGGTTGTTCTGATGAGGAGGTGACATCATTTCTAAATAGACTTAGTGCCTGCCAGGCACCAGTAAATGCTCAGATGGGAGAAAGCATTGTCTCTTCTACCCCCCAACCCAAGGCCAACCCCAGCGCCAAGCACAGCTGCTTGTGGAACTAAAACCACAGGAACATTCTGGAACAGAAAAGAGCCACCCTGCTCTGACTCAGACAGCAACCTCCTCACACCTCCCAGCTCTGACTCTAATTTTGGTGACTTGAGCCAAGTCAGCTTCTTTCTCTAGGCCTGGGTGTCTTTGTCTACAAAATGAGCAGCCTGCTGAGAAGCCATTCACATTCTCTCAGAGCGTGTCAAACCATGAACATGCCCATTCAACAGATGAGGAAACCTGAGGCCACTGGCTTATAGTGAATGCACAACAGCATCCAGGTCTTCTCACACCCAGGAGAAGCCTGACCTGGGAGGCTGCTCCTCTTCGTCAATGGCCCCAGTTCCCAGCTGGGGGGTGGGAGGG